TCGAGGAGGAGGACAAGGCAAGCAGTAGGTGTGATAACGCTACGCTAAAATCGGCAAGGACGGCACGCCTTTTGAAAGGGGAATACAAACAAGTCAAAGTTCTAATACTGGGAGACTGAGATTTTAGTGAGTAGGTAGATGTACCAGGACAGAAAGAGGAACGATGATATAAACTTTTTGTAGAAGATTGATCACGAGGTTGATTTCACTTTCTTCTTGGACGAGTTGCAACTGCAAGTAGTAATGAAAATGGCAAGATTCACTGACAATGCCAGCGAAACGTCTGGGAATATACCAAGTCCACGGCCTTACGCTGGGAATTATGACAACTACTATAGCAAAGAACTTCAGACAAGATTCATCCAACTAAATCCCCCTGACCAAGTTGCGAAAACGGAGTCAAATCACTTATCCAAGAAGAAGTTTATAGTTATGAAAAAACATTTAGTTTATCTTGTGTAATGCTAGGTTCTTTTTAACGGAACTTGTGTTGCTTCTGGATCATGTTAACTAGAATTTTATCCTTTTTTTCATAATCAGGATCATAAGTTCTGTCTAATTGCCTTACATGCTTTCGCCTAGGTTCTTATTTTCAGTTACAGCTTAGATTTTATGGCATTTTTTTCTAATTTGGACACTGAACCTGGAGCTTTGGAAGCAACTATTCAAAAAACGCTAGCATATTTATGACTAGATTAGGCCAGTGCTGATTGAGAAAACTTATTTGCCATTGAACTCGATGACATAGTATGCGTTGGAAATATTCTTGTATCCTTATTTTAGAAGTGGACTGGTAGTCTCGAAATCTTACACGAAAATGCATACAAATAGCGTTTTCGGCTGTACTGGCAAATATATTTTTGATTTAGCAGCAATCCCATAATAATAATATAGTGTGGTAGGGGCTTAGCATGTTTTGAAACTACTTATGGCCAACTAACACTGACAATGTGGTGTAGTTGTAAATGTCGAAATTATAAGCTGCAATACGCGGTTCAGGCACTGTTGGTGGCCCTGATGAGACCCGGGCGAGATCCATGTTGTAATTCACTAAAGGTGCCTTTTTGGCGAAGCAAGGTTGGTTAAGTGAAATTCAATGACATCCTTAGTCCTACTAATCTCATTGTGATAAAATTCATTATCAGTCCCCACCACCTTAATCTATCTCATTCAAAATCTACCGATAGTTTCGAAATCGTAGTCAAAAAACGAATATATTCATTAGTTCGCTCATAGTGATTGATTGTTTGATCATTTAGTCACTGAATCACAAAGCAGACAATTTTAAATGCAAGCCATTACCATATATGGAGTGATTATTTTTTTAACTTTCTCTTATATGATCGCATTCGAAAACTTCTATAAATTGTACATTTTGTCTTTCTTATACTTACAGGCCTTCATCCGCTTTCAATACACCGTGCCACTGCCCACCCGACTCCACTATATGGCGTCTCTCCCTTACCATCACAGCCAACCAACTGTACACTTACCACTTACGGGCGCCGTCTTCTTAGACTTCTTCGCTCGATCCTCCCGCGGCTTTCAAATTCACAATACCGGCCAGGCTTTGAGCGTGGACGAGGACTTTCAAGTGATAATCAGCGCCTACGAAATGTCGGTTCTCTGTCTTCCTTACCACAAGACTCCCTGACTGTGGACAGTGATATCAACACTATCCATCCAACCTCTACTCTCTGTTCCGGAGATATAGAACTCATAGAACTAGTCATGCTACTCGAAGCCAGTAATAAACGCTCTCGTTTCTCCAAAGTACGTTCTTCCGGCGTTTCGGCTGCTCTTTGTCGGCCTTCCAACGACAATGCAGAACCTGGATCTAACGTTGTCTTCTCTATGCCACACTCATTAACCTCTAATATGTCGCTAACTCCCTCCGAAAGAACTGATGCATCCTCTGTTGCAGTTTCCAAATGTCCGCTTAGTAAAACGAAATTTTCTTCTTCGCATCGGCGGTTCCATTCACACAGGTTTACCGCCTTTTTGTTGGCTAGCCTTCTGCTGCGCGTCTTGCCACTCTATCGGCATGTCCAGTTCACTGCCGGTCGGAATGCCTTCATCAAGACTGGCCGCCAGCATCACAGGGCTTCTGCTCGATGTCGTCTATTCACGTCAGTCCAGTTTCCTTTAAAACATTCCATAAGAGAATCCAGGCTTCTTGGTCAAGTGGGTTTGCTCGTAGATATGAAGACCAAGATAATAGGCCTGTTTGCCCGCAGTCCCCTTTAACTTTATAGTATTAGGCCATATGAAGGGGGGCTGAGGGTGGCTTGGACAAGAAATAGGGGTAAAGAGTGATGCCGCAACGGTTAAACAGAAAATTGGTTAAGGGGATTGTCTTCACTTGTCACTTTGATAAGTTGTAGCTCTGCTGACGATGACTCTTTTCACTGACGATGTCGGCGAATTAGTTGTTAGTGTATCAAGTCAATGGTCCGACACTGGACATTCCGAATACTATAGCAGAGAACGCATGACTAGGGACGTTCCACGAGATCTCCCTGATGCTCCATCCAAGTTGCGAAAACGAGGTCAAACCAACAAGTAGATTTGTGTTTACAAACTTGAAGAGTAATTGGGCTGCGATGACTCTCCTGAGATAACATTATTGTTGGGACTTTCATTTCGTATGAAAGTGTATGAAGTAGATATTCGTAGGTCGATCTCACCATAAGAGGACCGTTGAATCCCGTTGTACTGCAGCCATTTGGCTCTTATATGACGTTGAGGTTGATGCAGTCCACGATACCTCTCTCTTTTCAGGTTTAAACGGGCTGAGTTTTCATCCATCATATGATGGACATCATCAGAGCTGGGACACATTCTTGTAAAATTCCTCTGGTGAGATCGACCTTCGAATATATTCTTCACACACTTTAATACGAAATGAAATTACCAACAATAGTGTTTTAAGACTACTAGGCGCGACATTGACAACATTACATCCTGAATCCGATAGTTCAAATGTATTATTATAAGCTCATCATGAGAACTAACAATCCCTGCTTTTAAAGTCAGTTCTTACGAATAAGTCAGCAAAATCTTTCTATTCGTAGCGTTATCGTCCTAGTCTGGCTTTTATTGATTACACTTAGTGGAATAATGCTAAGCCTGGGCACCTGATATCTCTACTTCCATTGGTAGCATCCACTTAATTAGTCATCATACGGCTATATGTCTAGGTGTTTCTACTTAGCGGAGAGATTATTTTCTTTTTATAACTTCCTATCGGCCTCAATTTTCAAAGAACATGCTGTCATTGTTTGTTAAAGTAACAGGCCCAATGTTTTTGTATTATATTGTATCAGATATACGTCGTTTTTCTTTTAAAACCGAATACCTGAACCTAAAGTGAGATCTTGATGATACGGCTTTATCTTGATGTTGCACTGGATTTAGTTTTTATAATTTACTGTACACATCGATGCAGTGACAATTTACTTATTACTATTTCTTTTTCACCTAACATTGTTTCGTGTTTATTTGCAAATTAGCAAACGTTTAGCTTTGATCTTTTAACTTAAGAAATTAATCTTTTAAAATATTTTCTCATTCAGGTGTCCATTGTGTCCTCGAAACTTTCCTCTGGCCAGTCGGCTACGAGACCACCTAGCTACCGACCATGCCTCTGGTCTCACATCAGCCGTTCTTACTGCGCTTAAACACCTCCACGGAGTAAACCAACAAAGATCCTCTCGATTCCGGGCGGAGACCCCTAGAAACCAAGTATCAATGCGCACTCTCTCTGCACATAATCCTATGCCCTCATTACCTCACGCTCAATACATCACTTCCACTAGTGATGCAGGATCTGTCATCCAGACCAACAGCTCTTTGGCATGCAGTGACACCATCACCGAAGGTGTTAACAGCTCTATCAGCCATGCAAAAGACGGTTCTGTCACTCTTTTGTCTACATCTGACCTCTCTTCCATCCAACAGTTCACTACTCCTTTCTGCTCGGGTAAATTAACACAGGCGCCAAATTGTACTCTCGAGGAGTTTCCATTTCGCCTTGATTGTCCTCCTAGTGCCATGGAGCGTCAAAGTCTGGTCAGACCCAGTGAGCTAGATGTGCAAGCAGAGAAAAGCGGGCGCGATGAGGACACCACATCGATAGGTCCTGAATCGACATGCGATGCTGACCTCGAATATCCACTTGCACTCGAGGGCCTATTGGTAGCGAGCGCAGCCGATATAGCGTGTACACCTGGTATCAGGAACAGAGTTAGACGAACGGCATCAGCTACCGGGTCAAGTTTAGCTCTCTGGCGGGGCTGCTTCTCATGTTCAATTTGTAGTAGGGTTTTCCAACGTGTAAAGTGCTTTCAGGATCATGAGCAGTTATGTAAAGAGGTAATATTTCCACTAGTTTATTTTATCCACATAAATTCTTACTATTATAAAGTTTATGATTCAGAAGTTATCATATTCTCTTTTCTTTTATCACAGGCGCCAATAGAGGTAAACTTATTTCCACACGTTCCTATTTATTTTTTTTCATAAGTAGACGTCGCGTTATGCACGAATTTCATCTCTCATAATCCTTAGACCTGCGCCCGGCATCGTTAATTTCACCACTCGTCAGAATTACATCTTCTATGAGGACGAATTCCAATCTTAGCTTTAAAATCTCGCTGCTATGATATGCTTTTAAATCAGGTGTTGATTTTAGACATTCGGTAGGGCGGTTTTAATTTGCGGTCGAAGTAAATTTTGAAAGCTTTTCATCAACACCATGACGTTATTTTTCCATCGGAGCGGAATTACTCACAACTATAGTTCTCCATAATAAATTTGTCTTAGGCGATGAACTCGTGTATTTTCAACATATCATCTTGTTCTAACTCGTTGGTAGTTGGCAAAGATAGTATTGAGTCCTTTATACACAAAAACAGTTTACGTGACCTATTAAGAGTTTCTACCTGAGTCGCCTTCAGGGTGAACGTCCATGAATTGTCAAGGCATATTGTCCGAGGCAGTGATTATTAATGCATTACCGAGAGGACATGTATACAAGCTTATCTGGAACCTCCATATATGAGAAAAATCCTTGCTATCTGGAACTTCAGGAATATATTTCAAACTGTTTTTTCTATCTAACTTTACGTTTGCATAGCCAATTTCGGAAGCTGACTTGTAATATTCTAAAATTAAGATAATGGTCCTAGATATGAAGACCAATATGGCGTGACCTTGTCTTTAGTCGCAGTCTCCTCTAGCTGTATGGTATTAGTTCGACCTTGTTCTCGCAACTTGGTCGGAGCGACAAGGAGACCCTGTGGAAAGTACCTGGCCCTGCATCCCATGCCATAGTATTCATGATCTATATCATAGGATCATTGACTTTATGCGTTCACATACAGTTCGTCGGAATCTTCAATGAAGGGCTTCATCGTTAACACGGAGTTATAACCTATCATTTGTTACTTGATGAGTTGTAACTTTGTGCTTACGATGGCGCCTTTCACTTACGATGTCGGCGAAACGTTTGGGAATGTATGTACTGAATATTCCTATGCTGGAAATCACGAATAATATGGCAAATGTACGTTCGGCAATGTCTCCCTGTCGCTTCGATCAAGTTGCGAAAAAGAAGTTAATATAATGGTGTTTCCTTCTTTGACCATCTTATAACACAAGTCGTAGTGTATTTTTTATTTATCATATTAGGGACATGAGTATTATACACTAATTTCTATTGATTCAATTATGAAGTGCCAAAGGTTTTTGTATATTCCAACTTCTTTTTTTTATGTGGGTGTCCTTATATAAGTTTAGCTTACGCTTCTATTTCTCACCAGGTGGAATTTACGTCTTTGGCATAGTAAAAATATTATTGCCCGTTAAGAGGATCTTTTGATGTATATGCTAATGCTATTAAGTTTACTATAAGGCTCTTTTATTGCACTGGTCCACAATTAGATGAAATTCATCCGGGAAGACCTCGTGTCGCACTAACTTTACAACACTATAACTATGGATTGTACATACTCGGGCACTGATATATCAAAAGATTATAGAAAACCTATTATTCTGCAATTACTTACTATCTGATAAATTTAGGATATTTTCGACGCATCATTGATATACGACCTAAATCGACAAAGGGATTTTGAACAAATTCATCTTCTCATATCTGATAAGGCTAAACTCCTCGAAGCCTAGTAACACTTAGGAATTAGCATGCAGGAATCATTCTGATAGGATATTCTTCATATTCTACTTAAAAGTGACCGTTTTTTTTACTAGATTTATGTTTTCACGAAAATTAGATAGGCATCATAGCTATTAATCGAAGGGTATTTTACAAATGCTTCTGGACATGCAATCAAAGCATCTATGCTCAGAAGTATGAGTAAATAGTGCTCCATAATTAAAAAAAGGCGAATTCGAAAAGCGAAGATGGTTTTCTTCTTTCGGTAACGTAAGTTGCATCAAGAATGGGAAACTTGGATTTAAAATTCGTTTTTAAATGCATCTCTCTGGGACAAGCTCTTCTTTCTCAATAATAAATAAATGATGGCGTTTTCTGAACATCACTCTGCAAAAAAAGGGGCTTGGAATAGTCTTGATGTAGCAGACTACAGTCCCATTCTCATAATATAAATATTCTTGTC